GCGCGCCACATATTGACATGCTGTTTATTAATCTGTCCTCAACAGCCTCCATCCCCTTCCTTTCTTTTCATCTTTTAATGTCTTCTAACTTTTAATGACACCCATGTGCCCAGTTCCCCCCCTCTTCTTTCACTCTAATAATAAAGTCTCTGTGACCCTCCTTCAGTATGAATAGATTTTTTCTTTCTTTTTTTCCTAAGGCTGTGGGTTTGAACCTGTCACATTTCTATTACTCTAAGATTGTACTTCCACCCACTGGTGCTGTATGATGTCACAATTAAAGAAACACTCGCACGTAAAGTTCACTTCTTCATTTTATAAAACTATGTTAAATACTTTTAGTTGCTAATGAGTATATTAATACCACTGGAGCATTCTACTCATTTAAAGCTTTGGATATTTACTCATGGACTCTACTGGATTATGTTTAATGATTCAGAGTTGAAAATAATCCTTATTCAAGCTCTCAGCTGTATTTAGTAATTCTGGTTCTTGACAAAGACTTACATTGTATCTCTTCTTCTCTGCTTCTCCCGTGTGTGTCACATCTCTGCTGTGTATTTTTAGATATTACGCCTGCCCCTGACCTTTGCAACACTCACCTGGATACCCCTGTCAAACTTGTTCTCTGTTTGTTGTAAATAAACCCTTTACCTTTTACCTGTTGTCCTCTCCTGCATTTTGGTCTAGTGAAACTCAGCAGGCCTTGGTGCAGTCCCTCAATTTATTACTGTCTGAACAAGCTGTTTCGTTTACCTTTGCCTTTGGCTAGCTCTCTTCTGATTGGTTACCCCCAGTAAACAAAAAGTTTGAACAGTATGTGGGTGGGGGCTTCTGTTCTCATAAATGACTGTATTAGGGTCAAAAGTAAAAAAACAAACAAACCCTTAACCCAATACTACTTTTACCCTTTCAGCAACTATATTGAATGAGTAAATGTAAATACGCAGAGCTTTTTACTCTGAGCACTCAAAGCATTTTATACAAAATGCCTCATTCACCCATTCATACAAGCATTTTTTTCTATGCCATAGTCCTTTCTGAAGTGTGGACTGGAGCAGCCAGGTATTGATCTAAGGCCCTGCGTTAGAGATGGGATGAGGAGCTTGGTAATTTGGGAGGGGCTCAGAGTACAGCCAGTTAAGGTCATTCAGGCAACAAGTATGCCTCCTTCACAGCTCATAGGTGAGGTTTGTCAGGCATGCCCAACTGAGAGAAGGCCGAAGGCCGAAGGCTTGACCTAGGACCCGCTGCAGATGTTACGTCGATTGACTGGCTCAGTCCTCCACCTCAGTGTCCTCCAGTAAGAGCTGGAGGAGCTGGTCGGGTGAGAGGGATCTCCGCTTAGACTGCTGCCCTTGTGACCCCAACCCTGATAAATAATTCTTGTACTCTATATTGCCAAAAGACTTTGCTTGTCTGCCTTTACATGCATATGAATTTGAGTGACATCCCATTTTAATCCATTGGATTTAATATGCTGTTGGCACCATTTGCAGCTATAACAGCTTCAACTCTTGTGGGAAGGTTTTCCACAAGGTTTAGAAGAATGTTCATGGGCGTTTTCTTCTTCCAGAAAGTGAGGTTACACACTGATGATGGATGAGAAGGCCTGGCTCTAAATCATCTCAAAGGTGTTCTATTGGGTCACTGTGCAGTCAAGTTCTTCTACACCAAACTTGCTCATTAAAGGTTCCAACAAAGTTGGGACATGAAATTGTCCAAAATGTTCTGATGTACTGATGTATAAAGAGTTCCTTTAACTGGAATTAAGGGGCCAAGCCCAACTCCCGAGAAACAACCCCACATCATAATCCCCTCTCCACCAAACTTCACACTTGGCACAGTGCAGTCAGGTAAGTAACATTCTCCTGGCAACCACCAAATCTAGACTTGTCCATTGGATTGCCAGACAAAGAAGTGTGATTTGTCACTCCAGAGAACAAATCTCCAATGCTCTAGAGTCCAATGGTGGCAAGCTCTTGGGTGAAGCTGCTTGGCCATGGAAACCCTTTCATTAAGCGCTCTACGCACTTGTAATTTACTACATAACAGTATGTAGGTGTGATACACATTTTACTTTCACTGATGCACCGCATTCATTTTAGCTTTATTTAAATTCATTTCATGACTCGTCAGAGGGAGAACATAAAAGGAGGGGATAAGAAAATATGTGGGGAGTAATCGGAAGCAAAGACACGACCTTTGACATCCATGTACACCAACCAATCAATAGCCTTCTCTTCCATAAACCCCTCCAATCAGCACAGTTCCTTAAAAATACCCACGAGGCACCTGTGGAGTAGCCTGAGCGAGGACAGCATCTCCATGGCAACAACATCATTACCAGAATAGCTCTTTACTTCTCTATTTCTGTCTCTCCATTTTCTCCGACCTTTCATTGCAACCCATCCTCTCT